TTTTTAGTTTTGCAAAGCTGTGCTTCTGGTAAGCAGAAGACATTACGACTGTATGTCAAAACTATGTATTACCGTGTATGGTCGTATATCTTAAAAATCCCAGGAAATTTTGAATTGCTCCATCAAAAAAACCAACAGTAAACAAGTGGTAAGTATTAAACCAGCAATATATAAGTAGCATAGTAACTGGTATTTATTAGCATTAAAGGGAACAAACAGAAACAAATGCTTTAAATCATGGCTGTTAATGTTTCGATTCTTTAGGAATTATAATGTTTTCATTTATCTGAAGTAAATACGTACAAATTATGTCCCCAAGGGACTGTCATCTCGTCTCCAGCGGCGCTCTCAGTAACTGTTAGATCCAAGAATCCATTTACTTTTCGTCACATCTTACAACCTGAACAGTTATGCGTTTCTGGTTTTGCTATATTGCTTTACTTCAGTTAAATAAAAACGCTAGTTGTTTTATTTTCCTCATCATTTGGAAAGCATAATCCACTTGATGGTCTCACGAACTGGAAATCTGTGCCTCAGCCAAGGTCGTTGATGTACAAGACCCCCTGGTATTCCTTGGTTCAGGGTTCTAATGCAGCTACTCAAAGATGCCTCAAAACTTTTGCCTGGTGCTGGGGGTTTATGTCCAGTTCTTACATTAGCAAAGAAAATACTTGAAGTATAAACTCGAGGCGTATCTGTGTCCAAACCTGCATTGGCTGAGCTGAGCTAGCGCAAACCCACATGAACAGACCCAAGGCAAGAGCCTGAAATAGTAACGAGATGCAAATTGTCCCATTTATTGCCTTGAGATTAAAATCCAAACACCATTCATTGATTTCTACAAACAACGTAATAGGTGACCAAACTGCAAAAAGTAGAGGGATATTTATAGTGCTATTGTCTCACTTAAGATGACTCAGCCTGGTTGCAAGTCAGAAGGACCGGGTTGCAAGCGAAGCCTTACTGTGAAAGGTTTGATGTATGTATGGCAGCCGAGGAACTGAGCTGGATGAGCATCCTGCCGTGTGCACAGGCCAAACGAGTTCCTTGCTAAGGGCTACTGGATGAAAAGTCCAGCACGGGCAAGACAAGTCTTTTAGCTTCCAACAAACAGCAGACAAGTCAGGCTTTCTTCTTGAATCTCAAGGAGGCAAGAAATCTGTGGGTTCGGTTTGGAATAGTACATACGATTTCCCCAGGCTTCCGCAAATCCGCTTGACTGTCATCAAGCTAATCAAATTACTTTCATTTACACTTTCCTCTTTAACGTAGATGTGTTCCGAACAACTTCAGCAGGAACAAATCCCTGGCGAGGTCAGATTGTGTACTTACTTGGGACTCTAAGCACGCCTGCTAATTCGGGGAAAGACAAAAACATTCAGGACCAGGATTTTTGGTAGAGCTTTACCAGCTGTTTCAGAGCTAAGGCACATTTTCACAGCCCTCTCTCTGTGTTCATGCATGTTAGTAACAACTGACTCGTGGATAATGCTCCTAGCTCCTTTAAACTGGCCATGCAACTGCTTATTTTTAAGAAATTGTGAAAGCAGTTACTTTAAAGCTGTTTTAGAAACGTTCATAGTGAAGCATTCAGACTCATTTCCTGGTGTTTGATTTAAGGTTTGAGTTAATTTTTTTATGTGGTTAAAATTTATGTTGCGGAATAAAAGAAAATTTATTTGGCTTTACAATAAATATTGAGTTAATTCACATCTATTAACGAACACATAGGTATGCCAGCCCATAGGACAACTTCAAGTCTTTTTTAATGCCACTGTCTGTCTTTGTGGTTAGGTCAGATGATAAACGTACCCAACTGGAAATACAAATGGTAACGCAAAGTGAAATTCTTACTGCGATTTTTGAAGAGTAGTGAGGGACCTATATTCCAGGAAACCAGTTGGCCTGGTTAATGGATTAAGAAAAATATGGTGTGTATTAGCTGGAAATAGATATAAACATAAGACAAGAGGGTCCGTCATGCATTTCTTTCTTTCTTCACACAGTCACCGTTCTTACTAGTTCTTTCTACCCAGACACATTGTTTCCAGTGACAATAACCCTGCCGTCCGCTCTAAGACACTCAGACGCAGTTAAAAATCCCCAAAAGTCATCTAAGTGCAGTCTGGGTGGGAGTGTTGATCTGCTCGAGGGTAGGAAGGCTCTGCAGAGGGACCTGGACAGGCTGGATCGATGGGCCCAGGCCAACTGTATGAGGTTCAACAAGGACAAGTGCCGGGTCCTGCACTTCGGCCACAACAACCCCATGCAGCGCTACAGGCTTGGGGAAGAGTGGCTGGAAAGCTGCCCAGCAGAGAAGGACCTGGGGGTGTTGGTAGCAAGCTGCTCACAGGTAAGTGGGTAGCTGCCACGAAATCACGAGACTGGAAGAAAACCACTCGGAAAGAAGGTGGTACTAATGGAAGACGTGGGGGAAAAGGGAAGGATGACGACTGAATTCCCACGGCTAGTTAGTGAAGCAGGAGGTCAACACACACGTTGCTACGGCAAACTGAACGTGACCCAACTCGGACAAAATACCAGTTTTCAATACCCTATCAAATTAACAGCTATGATTGTGAACTCCCCTGTATTTAATACTTACTAGGGATGTGATGGGAAGCCAAAGAATTTTGAATTGTTTGAGGGCAAACCCAACTTGTTCCCAAGTACAAAAAAAAAAGTATGTCCTGTGAGAGGTATTAACTAGATGCAACAGAATGAAAACATTATATTCAATTTAGAAATCTTATGTATACACAATGTTACCTTAAGCAGAGACATTAAACCTTGAAAACAGCATTAATTATACATGATATATGCCTTTTATTTTCTCCAAGAAAATAAAGGAGCAAGAAAGGAAAAAAAAATTCTAATACAGTTGATATAAAACACCATGTTTGCCCACCTAAAATATGAATTTGAGGCAAGACGCTTTGAAGGAAGTCTCATTTTCAGATCACGGGCTTCTGATAATCATATGAACTCTGATAATCGTACTAACTGCTAATTGTCAGTTACCAGCATACAAAATGAGCATCCTCCAAACATTACAGTTTGCAAGAGCTAGCTCTGAAACAGGCATTACCTTTTCAGCACTTAAATGGCGTGGGGTTAAACACTCTGCCCTCTGTGGCTGCTCTGTACTAGCTGGTCCCCAGTCACTATTCTGTCAGGAAGACGAACGAGCGAATAACTACAAGTACACAGTAAGACAAATACGTACAGCGGTCCGTACACCACAGTCAGTACCGACAGTACTGATTCAAGCCTGCAGCGCAGCCAATGCCCCGAGATTGAGAACCGGAGAATGGCCAGAAACAGGAGTGTAAGGCCTTCAACGCGACCCAGGATTCCAGTGTATTATTAAATACTTGATTACACACAAGTAAGTTTACTGGCACAACAGTAACTTTCACAGCGAATGTCGAGAAACAGAGGGAGTCTCACTTTTCAGTGGAGTGTCCACACTGCAGAGGTATTTACATTAACTCATATAGTCAACTCCTGAGACGATCATTCCCTTACACCAATAAACAACTTGCAGTATAAGCATGCATTAAGATTCCTGAGGGGGGGGAGGGGGAAAAAGTTACTATATCTTTATATTCTTTTACTTGAGAAAATCCAGTATTATCCCAAATCCCCCAAAATATATTAAAAAAAAAAAAATTTATTGGCAAGCTTATTGTTCAATAGTTTGTGTCTTCTAGGTGTTGCTATTTCCTCAATGCCATAAGCCTGCTGCTGCGTTTTCTCACTCGGAGACTTCTCATTCATCCAAAATTTTCATTCATTCAAAAGAAAAAGTGTTTCTTCTTCTTACAGATGGAAAACCACCACCATAGGAATCTGCTTCAGTTTTATCAACTAAATCTTCTGCCTCCTGTTACTTGCATAACTCACAACTAAGAAACTTTGTGAATATTTTCATGATAAATCTAATCAGCTTTGGAACAGTGCACTAAAAGACACAGCAGTGTAATCCTGGCAGACTTCGTGTATTTTCAGAGTTCTCTCATCACGGCCACGAGAAGCATTCTCTGTAAGTTAAATTTTTGATACAACTTCAAGATCATCTGATTAGCACATTCCTTTTTTTAGACGATCAGCTTTTCTGAAAGCAATCTTCCTGTTTTGATTACCGTAAGTAGTATTTGGCTCTTCAAGCATTCTCATCTCCCCCCTCTTTTTTTCCTCCTCATTTCAGCTGATTGCTCTGTACCCCCCAAAATAATCTTCTCATTCATGCTGCTCTGCTGCTAGTCCACTACATCAATAAGGTCTTTGAGAATTTTCATCTTGGTAGGTAAGTTATTTTTCATCTCCAACAAGGACGTCAGGAATGCTTTTACGCTACCAACCTTATCGTGGTTTTTGCTCACCTATAGGCAAAACCCCAAAATAAACACAACGCCGCAAGATGAAACAGCACAGCCGAGAATATGAGAATCCCTAACGGAAGACGACATTTTGGTTGAGACAGAGCAGGCGATGCAAACATTAGGAAACACTCTTCAGTAGTTTTGCCAATGCAGCTCTTTTCTTACAGGTAATAATAACAACACAATATTCCATTGATCCAGATCTTTTCTCCATAAACACGGGTTTTTTGTCATGACCTGCACAAACTGAGAAATAAGGCTAAAGACACAAAACCTAATATTAACAGTCAAGATACCATTCAAACTTTTACCAAAGTTTGTCAGGTTTAACCTTCTGCACTTAAATATAGCTATTTTAAACATCTGCAGTTTCATTCAATCATTTTCTTCTGAAGTGACTGTATTAAGAGACCTGGTGTGGGCAAGTCAGAATATCGGTCTAAAGATATAGCTGGCACCATGAAAACAGTTCTGAAAAACAGTTAAGTGTGCTTACTTATGTGTTTGGCGAGGTTCCTCAGCCCTTTTTCCCTGAACAGTTCACAGTATTATTCCAAACATTACTAACCAAGCATGACAACAATTTGAGGTTTTCAGACAAAACAAAGTGAGAGGTTAGTTCTACAGGTAACTTTTAATGCAAGTCTTGAAAATTTGAGAAGATTCTGGTATTTTTCCCTTCCCAATACATGTGATTGCATTTATTTACATATATTTTTACCTTTTGCTATACATTTGTATTAGTTATTGCCAGTTACCTTTTTCATTCTTAAACAATAGCACAAATGGTTTATGGTCATGACACGTCACAATAGCCTCGCTTGCCATTTATGCAACATTAAAAACAATTAAGCCTAAATACTTTTTTTTTTTTTAAATCTTCTGGCAAGTCAGGATTTTCTCCTCATTTATTAATAGCTGTGCCTAGCAGAACACACCAAAGGTGCCGATACTCATGACTAATCTAGATGAAGTTCAAGTTAGCTGACAGGAGATAATTTTCTTCAGCTCTTCATTCAGCTCTTACTCATCCCAGGTATCTCCGTATTTATTTACTTTAACTAAAGAAAAGAAGAAAAAGTAGTCACATATGACTTAATTTAACTGCAAAGGTTTATCTTATACAGTGCCGAAAAGTATGATGAAATGCATTATCATTTGAAGTGGTGAGCAGGGACCGACATCTAATTAAAGCTACTTTTGAATAAATGGGGAGAAGAGTTTGTTAATCATTATTCTTTAATGAATTATTATTCACTCAAGAGGCCTACTGCGCTAATTCCTGCTCTACAGAATTTGTAATTACTTTGAAACAAACGTAACATGTGGCTGAAACAAAGACAATTGGAGGAAACAGGCAAGGAATGTTACAATAAATAATGTGGCTACATAATCTAGTTACGTGCACAATTGGATGGATTCAGGATAGTTAAAAACACGTTCAAAGACAAACAAACAAAAATCAGTAATCCCTACTAGGAAACTGCTCAGCCATTATTATTTGGCAGCTTCCTTTAGTACAGGAGTGAGTCAGAGAGTAAAAAAGACAGGGTACTGGTCTTAATGGATTTATTCAGAAGTATGTCACGCGTAACTGAATGACAACCAGAAAGTGAGAAGGTGCTCTCTTGAAAGTGAGCTGCAACGTAGTCTGTAACTGACTGCCATCACTGACAGGGTAAAGGATGGATCTATACGATCCAGTAGGAATGCTGACACTAGTCAGGCACCCCTTTATAAATCTAATTGCAGGTTAATCACTAAGCCCACTGTTTATTAATACCTATCTGCAGTAGAACCAGTGGAATAGAGCAGAATGTATGGTCCTTGTTTCAGCGAGATGTCAGCAAACTTAGCATAATGCACTGACAAATCTCTTTTAAGCTGATTGATATTGCAGTGAGGCACAATAAGAAGCGCTCTCAAAGTACAATCTGATTTCCATTTCTATTAACCATGGCAGCTGAGCAGGCTGTGCTCATTCCCTGGAAAATGGTTCAGTCCAGATCACTACTCAGACGCACGTATTTGTACGGCTACAATGAAGGGAGAATGCACCAGCAGATGGAAGTTAGGGACTGCGTAAAACTGGTTTAAACGTGGTTTGTTTTCCCGTATGTCCTTGCAACACAGGGCAGAAACCACTGTCTCCTATTTGCTAGTGTGTTATCTCTGTGTCGTAGGATGAACCAAGGGGTAATGACTCAGGACGTATGAATAGGCATACAACAAGTAACACGTCCAGCGTGACACAAGAAGCTAAATCAGATCTTAGCTCACAACATCAGTAGAATCCCTGAACTGTAGATTTAAATGTGCTTCCACTTGTAAAACATTTCTGAACTTCTGTATTCCCTCCTTACTCTTTTTCCCTAAAAATACAAGGAGATAGATACTCTTAAAAATTATTTACAGATCTCATGCACTGCTCAGTGTAGTTCTATTCTCAAAGCCTGAGTATTCTATTTGTGGAGAAATATCTTGAAAAAGAAATGTTGTGTAAATCAATGAAGTGTCAGCTGATGGAATTTAGAAGCAATCTGAAACTACAGCTTCAATAGCTTTTTAACGTCTCATTTGGCATAGTCACGTGATAAGAGAAAGAGGCTTTCATCCTTGAAATAACAGATTTAAATCAGTACCCAATAATTGTTTATAATTTTTATTTCAAGACCACGTAGATCTGTCCAAAGACAGATGATCTGGAGAAAGTAATTCACAAGCATGAAATAGACTGACACTCTTAAGCAACACCGTTCCAAAGCTCACAATTACGGCTTCAGAACTTTTTGCATTAATATACTTTTCTATACTTACTACCACCTGTTATGCCTGCTAGGAGACGTTAGCTATTCCTACAAGTCTTGTTGCAACGTGATTGACAAGACTGGACACTGCATACAAACGCAAACGATTCAAGCTGACTGGTCCAGCAGAGTGTTAAATGGTAAACCATCCCTCTTGCCAACATCACTTTCACAGATGTCGCACTAAATAAAAAATGTTCTAGAGCAAGCAATTACGAATTGCTTCTGTGTCTCCTTTTCAAAAAATTGATGGAGTCAAAAAGTTGACTGAATGGCATCTTATTCTTCAGGACATCGCATTCTTCTTATGCTGTGTAAAGTTTTGTTTTTCACTGTGAAAACAAATCTCAATATTGCTGCCAAATACGGTTTCCTTCCTTTAAGTTTTAATGTAGAAAATGAACCTCTACAAACAATGCCTCTATAGAAATCCTCCAATTCCACATGAAACAATTCATAAAAATAAATACCCCCCCCTTCAAAACCATCAACTGCGTGCTCTATTTTGAGAGAACAATGCTATCTAAACCATACACCCCCTTCCATAGCTAAAACTCTACAGTATAGCTCTGAGCTCAGAGAACTCTTTGTTGAAAGAGGTTGCTTGATAGATTCAGTAAACCAAAAGTTATGAGATTTTCAGTCTGGCACCAAGCAATATGGCTGGAGAAGAGGAATTATAATTTGCTATTGGAAGATCAATATTTTTGAAAAAAGAATTAATTTGAAATATGAGACTACAGACCACATCACATGTGAGATACCTGCAGATACTGTAAAAATAAATTGCTTAAAGGGGAAGCAGAATTAAGCCATTTTTAGCATTATTGCCAATATTTGAATTTACTACGTATTTCTGTAAATCCGTGTATTACCTTCCTTAACTGGTTTTTCCTGTGAGAACTTGCTTGGAGTTTCTGCCTTTGGTGGTAGCATTACCTCATATGTCTCTCTGTGTTTATTCCTTAATTCCTCGTATGTGATGCCTTTTTTTTTACGACTTTCTTCTGGAATTGGAGCAGGATCTGAAAACAAAACAAACACCAAAATACTAGAAATGGCGTCACGCACCAAAACTTGGCTACAACCTGTTCTAGAATGCCAGTTAATTACAGCTCAATCCCAAATGAAAAGGAGCATGACAGCTGCAATTCTAAATGCAACTGAGAATGTATGTGGTCTTTAATTAATCCATTCCTTTTATCCTTTTCATTTTGTCAAACTGCTTTGGAAGATTGGCAGTTAACTCCTTTTCTTCATTTTATCCAATGGAAATCCTAACAACCATGTGTTGTTGATGGATAAAATAGTTCTGGTCACTTTATGTGCAATTTATGATAATCATACATGTCACGTATTTATGATTTCTGAAGAGAAATCTAAGTGAAGCTTAAGGGTTTGCATTCAGGCTTCAAATTTTGCTTTCAAAGAATTAGGACTACATCCACCATATGTCACCCGATAAACATTTTATCCTTTTATCTACATTTGTAATGCAGAATCTTGGTTCTATAATTAAGGTTTTACCAACTATTGATATTTGTGACGAAGTGTAATTACAATCTCCTTGACACATCTACATTCTCTCTAACTAAAACCGAGTTGCATGCAAGGGCTTTTTTTGTGAAATAAAACCTTTTCCATAAAGGAGTTAAAAAATGCAAACTAATTTGAAGTTCGAAACTCTGCATTTGACAGTAACTTCCTCCTTTGTGTACCAGAGAGACCTGAACTCAGAATCGTGTGTTTCCCCTGCAATAGCTGAGGACAGAGTTCATACTGGAAAGAGGGGAACAGCTGCACAGAAACAGTGCTTGAAAACCATTTTAATTCTCCGTGAGAAAATCAGCTGTTGCCAGACAGAATACAATATGCATTCAGTTCGCAGAAGGTTTAAATGTTTGTCACATTATTAAAAACAGTTTAATGTCACTGAATTATAGGAGTATACAGTTACAGCACCACCGCTGGTGAAAATGAAATCACTTCAGAAAGGCTAGCAGACAAATGGTAGAGACTATGGTTTATTTAGTGCAGTGAAAGGATGGCATATTCACCTTAATTTCAGCCAAAAAGAACTTCAAGTCAGGCTAAGTTCTTTGCAGGTTTAGTCTCACAACAGATTAAACCTTTTAAGTTAATTTACAATCTTTACTTGCAATTAGAGCTACAAAACATGAAAAAAACCTGAATTTAGTTTACAGTTAGAATGCAAAATAATACATATATTTACCTCCTGTGTAAAAACAATTCTGGGAACTTCAAGCTGTTTCATTCAACAGCACTATATTGTACCATGTATGTTTGCATGGGATGAAAATACATAGTTTAGTAAGAGAAGTATCTAAGAGAAAGGCAGAGTCATCGTACTACAAATTGCTAAATATTAAGACAAAACACACCTTGAACAGTGTAATCAGTAATTCCTGTAGGTGAAGATTCATTCAGGGAAGCACTGAATGGAACGGGTTCATAACTTGAGAGGGCTCTATCTGTTGAACTATAATCATCTGAATAGCTAGAAGAAAGCGAGAATCCAGCTCTGGGAGAAGAAGATTCAGTAAATGACTGAGAAGGCATGTCTGAAAATTCAGATTTCCGACTGGAACGGCTGGAAAATAATACAATTAAATATTAAATACAGAAATACTAAAGTTAAAAATGGAACTATAAGGTAACAATATGTGCAGTTCAAGAAAATACTCTTTTATTTTAAATGGTTTAGTTTCCAACATGAATTATAGTCTTAAAAAAAAAGTTTGGGTTTTTTTTTTTCTTTACATTGCAAAGATCTATATCATCCCTTCTCCAACACTCTTCCCTTCCTCCCAGAAACTTAGCTCATACCTGAAAATCTCCAGAACAGAAGACAAAAGAGACAAAGTATTTTGCACTTTACAAGACAAAAATGACAATCCCTTCCCCCAGGGAGTCTTCAGACAGAAAAAACACATCAGACACAAATAGTACAGGGTGTGCCCATGTAACTAGCGGTAGCATGAACTATAGTTATTTTTAAAGGCCTTTTAGGAAGAGTTTGCAATTTAAAACCCTTCATCATTAGAAGCTGCTGTAATTGATCAGTACTGAACATCAGAAGAAAAGGAGAATGAAAAGCTATCTTGGGGAAATTAAATTATGAAGGTTTATGGAGTTGCTGAATTCACCAGAAACATTAACGAATTTTCTCTTAAGAGGGAAAGGTAAGATCATACAAAGGACATTCTGGAGACTGATGCCTGATATTCTAAAGCATTCGCTACCTACTCAGAACGACCCTGCAAACCACTACACAACATGTCTCTCTATCAAGAGTGCCACCCCTTGGTGCCACTAGAATGTCTCTAGAGTATTTATTCATTTTTTACTTTAAATTTCTGCTTAGCTGTACTTTTAGTTTCATATGAAAAGCATTTGCAATTAGTCTTTGTTTTACTCTCACAATAAACATACAGAGCTACGCCATTTTATTGCCTCAATTATATTTTTAAAGTATATGCAAACACAGCTTTAAAGAACTATCTAATCTTTTAGCTCCTTACCTATTTTTAACCGCAAATCAGAGTTACCAAATTACTTAGTGGACATATAACGACCATGAAAATGTAATGATTTCTGTTGCTGGCTTAAAAGAGTAGCATGTATGGACAATAATGCAATTTGAATGAATTTAAATTAATCATTCAACCAAGGGAAACAAAAAAAAGGAATTTATCACTTAGGAAATAAAATTTTACAGATGCAAAAGAATGGGCCGTTAAAGGTTGAAGAGACTTATTGGTGCAGCAGATGATGGCATTTAAACAGGTTCTCACCTAGAGTAAACACAGTTAACCACCATGACAATTTCTTATTAGAAACTGGGGGTGGTGAAGGGACATGTCCAGTTCCTATTCAGCTGAGTTTATACAGTAAATGTATGAAGTGGTAATTCCTAAAATTATGTATGATGCCATAAAAATGTAAACATTTTAGAATAAAGGTAAATCTTGCAGACAAAACTGTCATAAATCTGAATTTATGAAGTAATTACGAATGTAATCAAGTCCTTTATAAACAATTAACAAATCTTAGCACATACATAGCAGGACGACTACTCACTATCTAAACACTGTTCTCCCAGTTTTGAATCAAGGGTTTAAGTGAGATATTCCGAAAGTAGTTTGCAATTAAAAACTACTTGAGGTAGAAAACATTTTGGAACAAAACAGGAAATAGTTTTAAGAACCTGATGAGTTTCTCATATGTACAGCATAATGCTGTTACAGATGTAAAGGTTTTAAACAAACAGCAGTAAGTTTGACCACCGTGCTTCTTCCTGCACTGATATTGTTTACCGAGTTCTTTCCTTTGATAAACACTGAAATCATTTCCACCCTCTTCCTACTTCAATCCAACTAAACTATGGGAAAAACTTCCAGAACATAACACTATTTTATTTCCATGAACTTAGTTTACTTCTAAACTACGGAGGCAACTTCTGCTGTCACACTACTGTAAGTAAATTCCACAGGAAAACATCATCTTAATTTACAAGGAATACATTTTGCTAAGTAAAATGTTTCTTTTTCTACTCCTCAAAGTGATCAGTTGTATGTAAAGAGCTCAAAATGTGTGTTTTATAGCCGGCCAACTGGTACAGATACAGCTTCCTGAAAGTGGTAGATTTGGGGTAATAGAGGAAAGAGGGAAGGTTCAGCTCTGAAGGTCTTTGAAAGCTGCAAATGCAGCCTTGATCTGTTAGCGTTTAAAATGTCCTATTCAAGAATAAGTTTTAAATTCAAAAGAGAATTGAATTCTTACTTATGTGAACTATGTCTCTGAGCTTGTCGTAGAACATCTCCTATTGGGGAATCCTTCAGTTTCTTAAATTTCTCGCTACAGATTGGCAAGTAGGATATCTTTCCAGCCAGGTATCCACACATTCCAGCAACTTTTTTAAAAGAAAAAAAGACAGTTTTATATGCTGCATCATAACATTCAACATAGTTTTAAAATAATCATTTCAAATAAATTATACAGTATCTTGAATAAAAGAAAAAAAAAACAGTTTAGATCTAAACCAAAAACATGCAGTAATCATCTCTGCTTCTTTCCAGACAAAGGGTACGAAAAACAAATGCAACAGCTGAACAGAGACATAAAGCAATGATTTAGACATGGCATGAGCATCAGATGATTTCAGCTAGTACTTGATTACTGAAAGGTGACAAAAAAAGGAAAATAATTGCAATCAGTTTTTCCCAAGATCCAGAAATAACCATTAACTATCAAAGATGATAAAACAGTCAGGAATAGGCAAAGGTAGTAAATTCTGCTAATTTCATCCATCAGAACAGTCAGATCTTGAAAAGGCTTTCACTAGTATGAAGAGAAGTCTAAATAAATTTAGGATTAGGCTCAGTATCTCCTGAAGAGGATTCTATGCTTTGGTTGCCAGAGGGCAAACAACTGAATTAGCTGAACCCTCGCTATCTCTAGGCAAATGCTTTCAATTTAGTGCATGAGATATTTTCATCTGCTAGACAGGACATAAGAATAAATCATCACGATAGTTCTTTCTGGGCTTCAAACTGATGATTTCCATCAACTGGCTCCTTCAAGTTTTGTGAGTGGGTCAGAGTATGAAGGAGCATGAAGGATTCAATGGCAATTAATAGAAGTTTCGTTGTTGACTTTGTAGGAGAAAAGGACTAGATCCTTCTTTCATATGCAACGAGCATTTTCTAAATACAAAGACAAAAGACTCAATCTTCTTTAAGTCAGGAAAGAGTTAATTACCAGTAACATTAATCCTCTGAGGTCCTCACACTGTAGATTACATCGCCTGGGAATCAATATAAAAGGGGATTTTACCCTACCCTGTACTGAAATTGTGATTCCTGTCCTAATGCCTGTATTTTCCAAAGGAGGTTAAAAATCCTTTTCCAAAGAAAAAGAGAAGAACAGCCACAACTATGAGTGAAGTTTACAAATGAGAAATGTAAGGGTTTAGCTGTTTCACAGGTCAAAAAAATTGGAAGACACCTCAAATGCTATAAATATGCGCAAAGCGAAAAATGGCCCAACAAGAATTCAAACTAAATATTTAGCAAAATAAAGCTAAGCAGCAAAGGTGATTAATCTCTGGCATAAATTACAAAGAGAAAGTCTTTTCTTGAGGCCTTCCAGTCAAGAAAAGTGGAAGCATCTCTCTGGAAGATGTTTCACCCGAAGTAATCATTGGCTAAAATATTTGGTTTCTCTTATTACAGAACTAACAGCCAGAGGATCCACATTTTTGAAGTAAGCACAGTAAATTAGATATTGTTGCTCTCTGCTTCTTCTGTATTCACTGTGACAAGACCTTAGAGAAGCTGATCAGAGATAGATAAAAGAGGCCAGGTCCCACTGCAGGCTAACATAAAGTAGGACATATGGATCTTACCCTTCTTTGCCAAAGAGGGATAGAGGACCAATAGCTCTATGCTATGTTGAAGGGGATGCTGTCAATGTAGTGTATCAGTCACAAGTAACTAGAAGTTCCATTAAATTGTCAGAGTGCCTAGAAGACTACTGAAAAAAGTTATGAGTAATTCCTATAGGCAGGAGAACATCCTGGAATCTGAAAATTCCTATCTAGAAAATGAAACACCTCTCAACTTCCAGATAAAACCCAGAGGGGCAAAGCAGGGAAAGATGCAAGACGGAGACTGAAAAAAACCTAACTCAACTATGTTAGTTAGATATAAAAGACCAATTACTGTAATCAGGCATAGATACGCTTCAGAAAAAGAATCTAACAACCGCAAGTGACACACACCATTATCAAAGACAGACTATTGTAATCAATAGATGCAGAAGCAGTATGCTGAGATCAGTGACACCAGAAAAGCAAGAACTGTCTTGAACTGTCTTACTGTTGTTCAACATCAGCTAGCTACGAGCTAGCAGTGGTGCCTGGAGTTGCATATGCTCTTCTTTCAGAACTCACAGAGGAAAAAAAAACCAAACCAAAACACAACTGCACTGCTTCCTTTAATCAGATTTCACTGCAGGAGGAATGTGCAGTTAAATTACGAGACATAATTTGGACCTGTAAACTATGTTCCTGGCAATAGTTTTCAGGAAGATCCTGTAGACAGTAGGGGCATCTGACCTAAACAACATGAGGATGAAACGAAAACTGCTTAACTCAGGCCTTTTACACTCCAACTATGTCCCAGAAAAATCCCTGTATTTAAAATGCACATAAATCACACGAAGTTACCTACCGAAAAACAACCAAAACACACACTTTATGGAAAATTTTTTTAGTATAAAATGAAAGTCCCTATGCCTACCAGTGTACATCGAAAAGGAGAAGCCAGAAGTATTTTGGCTTATAAGCTTAACATCAAGAATAGTTGGTCTGGTCCAGCTGTTCCTTATTTTTTCCCTTGATTTCAAAACATAGTTCTATTAAATGGGAGGAGTGTAGCCCTTAACTAGAAATGTGTAGGAGATAACAGGGAAATAGTAATTCTATTATTTATTAGAAACATTGGGGTTGTAACATTGTTTGGCATTTGAAGAAAGCAAGTAGAATTTTGCATAAACAAATGGCAGCCCTAGTCTGTCGCATTCGTTTATCTGCCTAAACAACACTTCCTTCACCACAAATGGTGGGTTTTACCCTCTTCCCACTGAAGTAAACTGTAAGAGTAGCTGGCTGTATCTGGGCAGATTGGCAAGATGGCAACTTCCTGTTTTACTGTCATGTATTACATTGAAAAGGTTACTTTATTAATTTATTTTTGATTATACTTAATCCAACATCATTCACATGAAATTGCTGTTTTCCTACAATTGTACATACATAATGTCCAGGAAAAAAAGGCACTAAAATAGGCTGAATGGGACAAGTGACACGCACGAATAAAGACCTTCAAATTAGGAAGGGAGGGGTGAGTGTACTCTGGCAAAGTAATTTAAAGTAAGCTTGTACAGTATCTATTTACAATGTTTTTTATCTTAAATTCTTACATTACACTTGTCAAGCATATTTCAAATCTCACAATTTTATGGAAAACCTATAGTCAAAACTTGTCCAAAAACATGCTGCACAAATTCAAAGATGGTGAATAAATGAAACGTTCTACCTCTTGACATTGAATAGGTTCTTGCAGTATGAGATGCTGTAGTTAAGAAACATACCTAAAAAGTTGCTGACTGATAGAATTAACTGCAGCAAGGTGAAAGTTATTCATCAGATATATCAGATCATTTACTCCTATCTTCAGGCACAGTTGTACCGATGTAAGCATTGATTCTATGATTCTGCAAGTGCCAGATTCTCCACCTGGGACAGGGTAATCCTGGTTATATGTACAAATTGGGGGATGAGAGCCTGGAGAGCAGCCCCACAGAGAGAGATCTGGGGGTTTGGGTTGATGGCAAGTTGAATATCAGTCAACAGTGTGCCCTGGCAGCCAAGACGACCAACCACGTCCTGGGGTGCATCAAGCACAGCACAGCTAGCTGGTCGAGCGAGGTGACTGTCCCACTCTACACTGCACTGGTGCAGCCCCACCTCGAGTACTGTGTGCAGTTTTGGGCACCTCAATATAAGAAGGACATCAAACTATTAGAGTGTGTCCAGAAGAAGGCAACCAAGGTGGTGAAAGGTCTCAAGGGCAAGACTGTCAAGGGCAAGAGGAGCAGCTGAGGCCACTTGGCTTGTTCAGCTTGGAGAAGAGAAGGCTGAGGGGTGCCCTCACCGCAGTCTACACCTTCCTCAAGTTGGGCAGCGGAGGGGAAGATGCTGATGTCCTCTCTCTGGTGACCAGCGATAGGACACGAGGAAATGGAATGAAGCTGTGTCAGGGGAAGTTCAGACTGGACATTAGGAAAAGGTTCTTCACTGAGAGGGTGGTCAGTCACTGGAACAGGCTCCCCAGAGAAGTGGTCATGGCACCAAGCCTGTCAGAGTTCAAGGAGTGTCTGGACGATGCTCTTAGTCATATGGTTTAGTTTTAGGTAGTCCTACAAGGAGCAGGGAGTTGGACTCGATGATCCTTATGGGTCCCTTCCAACTTGAGATATTCTATGATTCTATAATTCTATAGAGTGGAGTCACAGTGGATCAGCCAGCTAGTCTCGTGGGAATTATATCTGCGTAACAGACTCCAGAACCAAAAGCATGAATACAAGCTGAATTTATATGTAGCTTTTACTTACACGCAACTTTCGTAAAAGAGCCAAATCTTGAGCTATCTCTTAGAACACCTGAAAATGAGGATCAAAGTAATTAGTAATAAGTTATTAAGAATTATGCTGAAAAACATCAGGTTTTTCATCAACTGTAGGTATGTTTGTAGGTTATTTTGTAGTTATGTTTGTAGGTAGCAGGTTACTCTTTTACACTTAACGTTGAAGAAAATTCAAGAAAACCTAACATCTGAATTCCCCATAAAATCATACGGATCTAAGAATTACCTTTTTAATCATATCACACACAGTATTACTACACACTATAGAATATATTGTTTCATAATCACTGAGATACTGCATTTGTCAAACAACATAAAATGAGCATGAATTTGATTTTAATGTCAAGTTTTGCTCCTTTAGTTTTAGGAACTGCAAGTCATGTAGCTGAAGAGTCTGAACTTCTTTTAATTACAAGTAGATTAGACATTATATTATTACAGTAACTTTATTAACAGCAGAAATATATTTCATCTGAGCAAATCCAAATTAACCCAAAGTATGTTTACGCTTTACCTTTCCTAATTAAGAAACTAGTTGCAAGCATGCTCGCTGCAGCCAAAGGAAAAGCTGTGAAGAAGAAGAGAAGTTGCTTAAAATACGATTTTCAATATTTTCAACCACATTTAACAAAATATGCAATAAAATGAGAGTTGCTAGGCCTTACTAAGCTCATTTGTATAAGAATATAAGTATATATATAATTAACAAACTGTATATAAATTATGAAACATTCTCAATTCCAGTTTTTAAGACCTACTACAAATTATTCAGTACTGGTTAATGAGTCATCCTGTCTTCATTAGACTTCATGCTTCCTAAAATACAAAAGCCAACGCCAGATGGGATAAAGCTCTAAGGACAGGATTCCAGGTCTAGCTACAACTGCTACAGCATCAAGATGCAGAACTTCAAACCAGAGAAGCACACACAGTTCTTCAGGACAGAAGGCAAGTTATGTAGAGGCCAGTGCCTCTAAAAATTTTTGACAACCGAAAGTCTTGATTTTGTTTTAACATAAGAACTTTGGAAAAAGTCTAACTCTTATAAACTACATTGATTAAAATTAGGTAACCTGTTTTATTCACCAGCAAATTAAAGAACAGGGCAGCTTTTTCTGTAGCTCATGGATCAAACTATACAACTCAGGGGCAGGGTAAGGAATGCAGAGAAGACAACAAACATGGAACAGCATTACTGCCTATCACAATCAGCTTAACAGTTCATGTCGATTTTTATCATATTGGAAGAGTTCAGGTGGCAGGAAGCATTTGAAGATGGCAAGAAACAAAAGGAATGCTTATTTCAAGCAATGATAATTCTGATATCAGGAAGATTAACTTTGAAACTATTCGTAAAGACCACCATGCCTATACAAGATACAGTGACACTGAAATAACGAACATGACAGAAGACTAAAGTTAATTACATTAAAGATTTAGATGTGTCATAATGAAATTACATTTTAAGCAAGTCTGAAAATGTAGATATTACAAAAAGGCTCAATGACTTTAACTTTGCCTAGGGGAAATTTTTTTGCAACAGCAGCACTAGATGTTTATAGCGTTTTGATGCACACAATCTGCTAATTAAGTCCATATTTGAAGATAAATGATATTTTTTAGAATTTGGACAGCACAGTATTAAATATACTTTGCAAACTAACAGTTTCTTCCTTCACAAATTCTGACGGGTCTAAACTAGGTTAGGAGTCCAACCAGCGTTTTAGGGTAAATATGACTGGATGTCACTTTTAAAAAAAACCAAGCTCCTTGGTTCACAAGCACGATTACAGTAACACTTCAAAATAGAGAACAGAATCTTCCAATCTATTAAAGATTAAAACCCTGATGCTTTTAGAGATTCTAGACCTAGATTTTCCAAAATTTAGAGTTCTAGATTTTCTGAGATATAGAATGGCAGTGCAGATTTGAAGCTAAATTAAATTGTAAGAGACAAAAAAAAACCAAGGGAGGGGGAGCTTAAAAAAAAAAAATTCCAGAGAACTTATTACAGAGGACTTCAGTCTAACCCCTAGAGTTTTGAAATGATTTATAGGCCCAACACAAATATTCCGGACATCAAAGACAGGCTACGCACTTTAGTGGAAACAGCTGCTAGTATAAATGACATATTTAGGTCACATAAATGACCTAAAATGGCAACTAGAAATTAAAAGAGTAATACATAAACGAAAATTGGGTTCATACATAAAAATTAATATGAATAATTATTCAAGTGTAGAAAAAAAACAAAAGCAGCTTAATAAATCAGAAAATATCAATGCTTTTCACTGCTATGGGCAAAAAGTACTTTTTCTGCTTCAGGAACAGAATAAATCCTAGGAAAAATAATGCAAGGCTGATATATCAACAGCACATAATTAGGAATGGGAATGTAATGTATCCTAGTCAAAATGGTTTTATGGGGAAAAAGTGGTATCGATCTGGTTTAATTTTGTTAGCAAGCTTAAAAGTGCGAAGGATAAAATTGTAGATTGTAATGTAAATTTTTATGGTATTAGCATTTATATTATACGATGTGATTAAAAATTAGTAATACCAGTAAAGCATATATTAAACTGAATTATGAAATTACTAGCAAGCATTTCTGAAATAGAAACTACTGCAGAACAGAGAGGGTTTGTAAGAACTGGTAAAAATTTACTACAGCTTGAAATTTGAATAAACCAACTGAAGGTGCACAAATTTATAGTAATATCTGTGAATAACAAGAACCGGTACAGTCAGAAGTGAGGAAGTCAGGGCAGTCACACAGGCAGCCCATGCTTCTTGCAAAGGGGCGTTCAAATAATATGTGTTTAATACAGTGAATACAACAATCTAGGCACATGTAACGCAGAACGATGAAACAAAGACAGGAGACCTAGAAAACAGCGACAGGCCTTAGGCTCTCCCAGTGAGGTAAAAGCAGAGTACACAACTCCTGAAAAAAAAAAAATCTCTCAATTACTGTTGTAGCTCCCTAAAGTGAAATTACTGAAGAAACTAATTTGGGGCTTCTCAACAATACCTTCATGTTGTTTCTTCAGTTTCTGTATAAAGATGAACAGGGCAGTAAGTTACATTGCCAATCAAGAACTCACAGCAGAACACCTCAGGAACAAACAACTCCCTCCCCTCTTGTCTTCCAGGAGAGAGATTATCAATAAGCCATAACCAATCGCCATCTTACCCGACTCTTTTCACTTATAAAAATATAAGGAAAATAGCTAGATTTTAGCAAACAAGCTGAAGGTTTCCATGTATTTGAATAAAAGTGGAAGAGGAGAATGCCAAAGCAATGGAAAAAGATAAAGCAGAACTTTGAATCATTAATTCAAAATCACAATGCCTCAGAAGTTGCCCCTGAAAGTACTGGCTGCCAGGAGAAATCAGAGCCCCAGTGTGCTAGATTTAGCAAATCAGCTGCTAAATTCTTCATCCGTCCTGGTTTCTGCTAAGCCACCTATCAGCACCAGGAGTAATCTACTAGTGTGTGATAAAACAGTGGGTAACAATCACATCAGAAGGCTTGGTCAAACCTCTTGACCAGGTGTATAAAAAAACAGGTATGTCTTGAACCTTTGGATTACAGAAACAGTGTTAAGAAGTAACGACATCAATTCTCAATGTTTTGTGAAAAAAAACCCAAACAACATAACCTTGGTATTTCAGATAAATTAAGATGAGACACAAAGTATTCTGTGAAAACAATGCAAGTTTATTATTCCTATATACTAGCTGTAATACAGGCATCATTACTGACTGCAGAATCATGCTTGAGAATCTTAGCTTTTATTTACAGGGAAAAAAGCCTAAACGTCTGGCCATGCATAGACACTGAAATTTTCTCCAAACATCGAGCTGAGCGACTACTTATACGTTATTCTCCTCACAAGTCTCCAGGAAGACGGAAAGCAATGGTTCTAAGCTAAACTATTTTATTCGTGCATTCTAAAGAAAACAACAAAAATTGAAAATAAAAATGTAGACATAACAAAAACAAAAAAATATTCAGATGCATAAATAAATGAGACTCCATTAATTATATCTATTTTCAGACTTCTAATAAGCATATTAATTTAAAATATGAAGGGATCTTGTTATAAAGCGTAAACCTTACAAAATACGTTGCACCTTTTACAAAATTCTTGTCCTGCAAACTCTTAATAAATGTAAATCCTACATGGATCAACATTTACTGGGATGCAATTTTAGACCATGTGAAGCTTGCTAATGAACTGTTGTGATATATCGACCCGGGCCTGCCTTCCCTAATGCCTCAGATAACAACAAAAACTAAGGGTGGAAGAAAGGCAAACCAAGTTTACCAGCAAACTGAACTTACCTCTATACCGGGCACTCTCTTCAGCACATTCCTTGAGAAGTCTTCTTTCCTCCTCTGTCGGCACATAAGGCTTAGGTAGTTCCCTCTTTCATTAGGGAAATAAATTAGAAAAGAATGAGCAAAAGAAAGGTTTGGGGGGATTTTTCAATTAAAAACTTTGTCTAATTTTCACACCTTGTAGGGCCTGTACTTTCATGCAGCTATACTTAAGGAACTGGTGCCTTTTGTCTATAAATGTCACATGAAATAGATCATTAAAAAAAATTCAGTGCTTCTACAAAACACATGAGAGAGCGGAAAATATTTTGCGCATGCTCAAATCCCAAGTCGGTCCTCTCCTTTTTCTTCAGAAAAGCCTGCTTTGGTCCTTGCAACCAGCCTTCCAAATCCATGAATTCTGACAGCTCACTAAATCCCTTTTTAAAATATTTGTCAGGGTTTCAATTACACAGTGCGTGTTGTCCGTTTACATGCATCTATTCAGTGAAAGCTGCCGAGCTGTTTTGCCAGCAGGTGAGAAGTTTCTACCAGAGGTGCTTGACCCTCTCCTGCCGTGAAAGGCGTGCGACGAGGCACCCTGCCAGGTCGCCGACCGGGAGAAGGGCAGATGTGAGAAGGGCACCGGTACCGGGAAGGACACCTCTTGCCGGGACCGTGTCCCCCTCCCCGCCCCCCGCGAAAGGCCGCCGGAAAGGCCTCAAGGGCACCGTCCCCGCGCCTCCGCAGGCCGCCAGGGAGCTCACGGCAGGGGCGGGCGAAAGGCTGACAGGAATCCCCCCTCCCCAGCCCGCAGAGGGTGTGTGCAGGCCCCGAGCCTGCCGCCTCAGCCTCGGCAGGAACAACCCCGAGCCCCACCGGGCTCCCACACAGCTCTCGCGGTTTCCCCACAGGCGGCGCCGCCGGGCGAACGCGGTCCCTCGCGCCAACCTCCCCGCCGCCGCGCCGCCGGGACCCTGCCCGGCCTCCATGGCGGGGCGGGGAGGACAGTGCGAACGCCCGCTGACCCGGAAGTCGACGCGACGTTGTTCTCCGCGCTGGCTCTGTACGCATGCGTGGAGGAGGGGGCTCCCGCTTGGGGCTTGCCTGGGCAGCGGACGCTCCTTAAAGCCCCAACCCGCGCTCCGCGGCCTTCTCCTGTGTGGAAACCCAGCGGAGAGGCCCTGCGGGCGGGCGGGCGTTGGGGTAGGCCCTGAGGGCCGCGGTGCTGCCATAAACACCGTTGCTGGTGAACTCGGGGTTGTGGTCGAGGGCCGTGTGTTTATTCGGGTTCAGCAGTAGTGTTTCCTCGCTGGGAAAGTCGAGTGAGGGCGGTGGAAGGACCCGGAGTTAACAGCTGAGGCTCAGAGCGTTCATTTCAATGGAGAATGTTTTCTTCCTGTGCTTTATCTTGTTTCCTTCCTGCTTAACGAGTGCCACCCTCTAATACATGTGAGAGCAGGCACTGCTTCAGAAGTGGTGAATCCCTCTAAAGGTAATCCTTACACGGCTGGTTTTGTTTTGCGCAGCATTAATACATGCGTTGGTACTTCTCGGCTTTGTAACTGTCTTGCTTTTTTTGATAAACGGTAATAAAAAGCTTTTATCCGTCCATGCCTAGCTTGAACATTAGGTATGTTGCCAATAGGTATGTTAACTGGTTGCTAAAGATACATGGCCAAAACTGACTAAACAGAAAGGATGCCTGTTACCTAGAAAAGACCTGGCGGGCAACTGTCTGAACTTGAAAGTGGTAGAGGTTTGGTGGTTAGGATTGTATTGAAGTGGGAGATGTGTGCTTGCCTCTAGCTAATGCTGTTGAAATCGCAGCATTAGTGGATGCTTGCAGTTTATCAGAAATCAGGAAAAGCTGAAGGGGGGGGGGGGGGGGGGGGGGGGGGGGGGGGGGGGGGGGGGGGGGGGGGGGGGGGGGGGGGGGGGGGGGGGGGGGGGGGGGGGGGGGGGGGGGGGGGGGGGGGGGGGGGGGGGGGGGGGGGGGGGGGGGGGGGGGGGGGGGGGGGGGGGGGGGGGGGGGGGGGGGGGGGGGGGGGGGGGGGGGGGGGGGGGGGGGGGGGGGGGGGGGGGGGGGGGGGGGGGGGGGGGGGGGGGGGGGGGGGGGGGGGGGGGGGGGGGGGGGGGGGGGGGGGGGGGGGGGGGGGGGGGGGGGGGGGGGGGGGGGGGGGGGGGGGGAAGATGTTTCTGATAGAAGATGTTTCTGATAGTACAATGTATGCTGTGGTGTTTTCTTGTAAACATTCAGTACTGTGGCTTGAATTCACCATATCCTGATCTGCTCCTACTTGCTTGGAATGCACCACTCCCTTTCAGCCTTTCCTGGAGCAAGCCATTGTCTCTTCACCCTGGAATTCAAGTGAAGAGGCTTAAATTGCCACTGTCTGATGGCTGTACAAAAAAAGGCCATGCCTGAAGATAGTAGAGGAAAGGTTTTAGAGATTGAAGGTGTCTGAAATCAGTAGGGAATGTGGATGCAAAATGTCTGAAATTAGTAGAGAATGAAACTATAAAATGAACACTGTGAGCATGTGAAGGACCTAGGACAAAAGGACGAAGGAGTGTGTGTAAATAGGTTTGGCTGCCTGGAGTGGCCGGCTGCACCAAGAAAGCTGGAGAGGAGATGAGTTTCTGAGTATTGGATTCTTGAAATAAGCTGGGAAGATAGAACCAGAAACTATGTATTGTGGGGTTCTTAATTCATAGTTTTCATCATACAGTAAAGCAGTTCCTAATTTCCATGAGATAGCTCTGCCTGATAACGTAGATTACTTCCAACTTTCATCTCTGCCAATCACCTGGGCCTGCCGTAATGAAGCACTCTCCAATACATGGACATCAATTATGCACATCATTAATCGGAAAGCAAAAGATTTTGGCCTCATCGGCTCACAATAGTTTTATTTATGGGACTATAGCACACTTACTAAGGCAATTTATTTCATGCTTCTTCCCACTTGTCTTTCAGCATATTCTAGGCAAAGAGTACAATGGTTTGTTAAAGCATGCGTTTTCGTAGGGTAGGACATGTTTATGGACTGCACCTTCTCTAAACATGGAGCTTCAGTGGGGGAGGAAATGGATATCAGTCTCCTTCCCTGAAGATGTCTCTGAGCTGTTATTTTGCCTCTTTATTGTAAAATTAATAGTTATCCACTCAGTTTCCTCACTTCCCTATCCCCAAATCCCTTAGACTTCCAATGGGAAAAAAGAATTAAAATCATGCAGCAAACCAGTGAGTTTACCGTCCTTTCAAAAATCTTACCTAATACAGTCTGCTTGTGAGATACTTAAAGGTACTTAAAAGTTTCATCTGGTTACATACATCCATTTTTTGGCTTAGAACTGCAGTTGTAGGGCCATATTCAGCATAGAGCATACCCACGACCTCGGCACTTCGTTCTCTGCCCTCAAG